GGAATGAAATGCAGAGAAATGAGCTATGAGCAAAAATTAGACAAGTTAGGGCTCTTCAGTCTTGAGCGAAAAGGGGACCTGGGCACCGCACCTGAGGTTTGAGGCTGGAGGGGGAGCTGGGAGAGAGAGGAGAGGAGGACAAAGATGACTAAAAGCACAGTCAAAAAAGGGAAGGTAAGGAATGTAAGGAAAGGCAAAGTCATGAGAAGTTGGAGGGACCTTGGAATGGAGTTCCAGAGAGCAGACACCAACTGTCTGAAAGCTTGCCGCTGATGGTGGGACAGATAGAGGGGAGGATGGGGAGTTGGCCAGTGTTAGCCAAGCAAATGGTCAGGCTGGTATGGGTGAAGGAGAGACAATGGAGGGATTTGAATGGGAGAACGAGGAGCTTGAACTTGATCTGCTAGGGGATGGGAGAGTTTGTGCAGCTGAGCGACAATGGAAGTGATGGCCTCACAGAGTCTGGTATATATGAGACATGGGATGCAGAGTTCTACATAGTCTGCAGTCTGTGAAGGGAAGAGCTAGGGAGTGCGGCAAGCAGCATAGGCGAGCCTGAAAATAATAAGATTCTGTGGCATTCGTTTCTGTGATAAAATAGAGCAAATTAGCTTTACATCTTCAGTTTGATGTGCGACAACAACAAAAACGACAAGATTACATTTGTATAGAACCTTTCATGTCGGGAGGATGTCCCAAAGTGCTGGACAGTGTACAGCATTTCAGACCCGAGCTCGGGTCAGGGAGTGAGAAGGGAGGAGAGGGGAAGGGGGGGTGATCGATGACTTGGTCGAAGAAGAGAGTTTTGAGGCCGGACTTGAAGGAGGCTAAGGAGGGGGCGAGGCAGAGTGATTGGGGGATGGAATTCCAGAGGTTGGGGGCAAAGTGGCTGAAGACTCTCCTGCCAATGGTGAAGCGGGTGGGTCGGGGGACGTGGAGCAGGCCAGAGCCGGCTGAGCTGAGGGAGCGGGCAGGTTGATAGGGGTTTAGGAGGTCAGACAGGTGGGGTGGGGCGAGGCCATGGAGGGTTTTGTAGGTGAGGACCAGGATCTCGAACTGGATCCTCTGAAGGATAGGGAGCCAATGGAGTCGGGCGAGAGTGGGGGAGATGGGATCACAGAGTTTGGTGCGGGAGAGGACACGGACTGCAGAGTTCTGGATTATCTGCAGCCTATGGAGGGAGGAGTTGGGAAGGCCGACAAGCAGAGCGTTTGCATAGTCGAGCCTGGAGGTGATGAAAGCATGAACAAGAGTTTCAGCGGCCTGAGGGGTGAGGTAGTGGCAGAGACAGATGATATTACGGAGGTGAGGGAAGACAGAGTGGGTCATGGCTTGGATGTGGGGAAGAAAAGACAGTTGAAGGTCGAACAGGACACCTAGGTTCCTGACTGACTGGTGAGTTGAAGTGAGCAACCATGGAGGTTGGTGCTGCCAGAGCCTGAGGTGCTGGTGTGAGCCAATCAGGAGGACCTCAGCCTTGTTCACATTCAACTGTAGGAAATTTCCCCTCATCCAGGACTTGATGTCCGACAGGCAGTCTGTCAGGACAGCAGTGGTCCTGGAGTTGAGGGTGGAGGCAGAAAGGTATAGTTGTATGTCATCCACATACATATAATAATAATAATCCTTGCATTTGATATAGCGCTTTTCACATCTTCTAGACGTCCCAAAGCGCTTCACAGAATATACTGTAAGGTGAATTGATTGTATATTTGTGGGCGAACGCGGCAGCCAATTGAACACAGCGGCATCCTCACAAACAGACGTGGATTGAAAATGACCAATTTATTATTTTTGTTTTGGAGGGATTATTATGGATTATTATTATTATATGGAAATTGACCCCATGTCTGTGGATGATGTCACCAAGGGGGAGCATGTAGGTATTAAAGAGGAGAGGGCCAAGGGCAGAGCCCTGGGGGACGCTAGACGTGACAGTGCAGGGGCTGGAGGAGAAACCGTTAGAGGAAACAAAGTGGAGACGGTGAGGGAGATAGGATTCGATCCAGGCAAGGGAAGGTCCGTGAAGATTAAGAGGAGAGGTGGTGTATGAGGATAGAATGGTCGACAGTGTCGAAGGCGGCAAAGAGGTCGAGGAGGACAAGGAAGCAGAGAGAGCCGTGATCACAGATGTTCAGAATGTCATTAGTGACTTTGACCAGGGCTGTTTCCATGCTGGGCAGCGCAGAAGCCGGATTGGAGGGGTTCAAAGAGGGAATGGCGAGAGAGAAAGGAGCGGAGCTGGGATGCGACAGTTCGTTTCAGGTCCTTGGAGAGGAATGGGAGGTTAGAGATGGGGCGGTAGCTGGAGAGGAGGGATGGATCTAGGGATGTTTTTTTGAGAATGGGGATGGTGACAGCTGTTTTTAATGAGGTGGGAACTGAACCTGTGGACATGTTAATGACATTGAACAGTAATTTAACAGTAATCTCCTTCATCCTTTAATTCTCTACTCTTCTGCTGCCAAAAACTGAGAGCCTGTCTTGTTTCAGTAGCATTTGAGCTGCATATGACCCGGAGAGTAGTCAGCTGCAGATTTGCAACATACCTAAGTTCTGGGAGGCTTTGTGAGCAGTCACAACATGTTTTCCTAAGTTCAGTGACGTCTGTGGAATGAAAGGAGTAGCACATACATCTGAAAGGAAGACGAGCAAAAGATACTATGGCAACTTTCCTTCCCTTGTAAGTAGCTTTTGTTCTGTTTACTTTGTCCGCAATCGCATCCTTTTTTTATGATTGACAACCAGTATTGTCTCTGAAAGTTTCTGCCTGTAACTTTGCGTGATGATATGTGTTACCCGATGCATTGTAGTTAATGTGCTAGAAAACTCACTTCGCATCCACCTTGAATCTCAGACTGTACTGAGTTAGCTGACTACAGACAGGAAAACGCTATGGCTTAGGAAGGAAAAAATCATCTCGTTCTCCTCATCTATATGCTCCCTCTCAGTGATGCCATCCGCAGACAGAGGGTTAACTTCCACGTGTATGTGGATGACACTTAGCTCTACTTTTCATTGGGGATCATCTTTGCTGCTTTGCTCTGCAACGCCTCTAAGGCCTGAAGACCCGGACCATCCTATTATGCAATGCCAATTTGCTCTATTTTGAATGCCACAGAATCTTATTATTTTTAGGCTCACCTATGCCAATATTCTGCTTGACAACCATTGCTTAACTGATTTTGGTCACTTGATTGTCCCTTGTTGTATCATGCTTTTTGGTAATACTTTTCCACCCTTACAAAAAAATCGGAGTCCCATAGTGTAGTATGCCTTGCAAGTGAAAGGACCTGAGTTTGATTCCCAGGCAGGGCAAAACCTTAGGCAAGTTTCTTTACTTCACATGCCTCTGTTTACCTAGCAGTAAGTAGGAACCCGGCTGTCTCTCACTGGATTGTAGAGTGATAACCAATTTTATTTCGGGGATTGTTGGTCAGGACACCGGGAGAGAGAAACTCCCTTCTCTTTTCAAGTACTGTAGTATCTCGGGATCCTTAACATCACCTGAACAGGCAGACAGGCCCTTGATTTTTCTCATCCAAAGGACAACGCCTCCAGCAATGCAAAGCTTCCTCAGTACTGCGCTGGAATATCAGCCTCAGAACATCAGAACTGACCAACAACCGGGTTCCTACTCACTATAAACAGAGGCGTGTGAAATAAGAAAACTTGCCCAACGTTTTGCCTGCCGGGAATCAAACCAAGGGCTCTCACTTGCGAGGTGAGCGCTCTAACAACTGAGCTGGAGGACTTCACATAAGCAGTGCCCTGGAGTGCTGCAGATGTGGCGAGCTCAGGAATTGGATTACGAAACCACCATAGATGGACTCAATTCCGAAATTCCTTTGCCAAGACTGAATGGAAACTGAAGCTTTTCTGTCCCGGAATGGTGAAGAACTGTACGCTGGATGCTGAAAGAGCTGTCACTCCTTCCTGACTCTGTGGGTGGTTGATATAGAATTGTGGAATCCTGTAGCGTATTGGTTAGAGCACTCGCCTCGTAAGTGAGAGGACCTGGGTTCAATTTCCTTAGCAGGGCAAAACCTCAGGCAAGTTTCTTACTCATCTATTTATCTAGCAGTAAGTAGGAACCCAGTTGTTAGTCATTGGCGGATTGCTCTCCGGGAGTAATAACCCCTTCAAAAAAATATTAATAACCACTGAATCCATGACTGTTTGTGGGACACTGCTGTGTACAATTGGCTGCCACGTTTGCCCACAAAATATACAGTCAATTCACTTTACAGTATATTCTATGAAGCGCTTTGAGACTTCTCAACTACGTGATAAGGTGCTATATCAAATGCAAGAATTATTATTATTATTACAGCCTGTTGTTTATAAATTATCATTAACCTCTGACATGATAATATTCCAGTCAGCTACTGCCAAGAGTGTGGTATTCGATCTTATTAAGCAAAGTGAAGTGCTTTGAGATATCCTCCCACCATGAAAAGCTCTATATTAATGTTAATTGTATCATATTGTAATGATGATCCTTGCATTTAATATAGTGTCATCACATTACCAAAACTACTCCAAAGTGCTTCACATGCTTTTTCTTTAAAGTGTAGTGCAGCCCTCTACTCTCTCCATTGGTGGCTGAGCCTTCAGTTGCTACAGCCTAACCTCTAGAGCTCCCTCCCTCTACCCCTCTGTTTCTGCCTTTAAGTCCTGTCTTAAAACCTACCTCTTTGAACCCATCTATTGTGACCTTTCCCTCCCCCCCCGCCCCCCAAACACACTGTTAGTTGATGCACCAAACCACACTCCTGCGACGCTTACATTTACAAGGACCCATTTTGTCTTAAATCTGAGACATTGAAAGATGCTAGATAAATGCAAGTTGTGGTTGATTTGTGAAAAAGTCATGAATTCAGTCTTAATTTGGAAGCCAGTTTTCTGCAGTTCCTAAAAAGACCCGAATTTAAACATTTTAAAAACAGCCTGTCAGCTCGCGCTGTCCTGGTCGCTGTTGTCAATTGTGCAGTGACTGGCAAGGAGACCATAGCATCCAGAGACTGGGGGTTGACAAGAGCTGAATCTTAATCGTTAAAGGTTTTGCACAGCAGCTCACAGGAAACAGCAGCTAAGGGGACGCTGAGGGAAACCACAGGAACCATGTGCAAGGTAAGCGGAAGATCTTCAGTGAAACAGAACAGGAACTGAGGCAGCGAGGGGAAGGTGGAGGAAAGAAACAGGGTGAAGGAGAAAGAGAGAAACCAGAGTGGGAGGAACACCAACCGTAGAAACGATGGATGAAACTCGAGAGAGGTACGTGGACCTGAATAAGGTTAAAGGCAGTAATTGAGCAAAGAACCATCTAAAATCAATCTTTTAAATTAACTACTTCAGAGCAATTATCTGTGAAGTGTTTGATATTATGGGATGTCCTCCCAACGTGAAAGGCGGTATGTTGGGATTTCTGATCCCATAGTTCGAAATATAACTTGACAATCAAATATAGTGTAGCAAGGTTTATTATGAACAGAATGAACACAACAAGCATTAACAAGTTACTACAAATGTCTAACAAATGATACGACCAGTCTGTGTAGACAGTTACACAACGTCACAGAACATCTTCCTTGTAATCCTTAAAGGGGCCTCTCCACACTACAACAACAACAACAACAAGATTCCATTTATAAAGCGCCTTTCACGTCAGGAGGACGTCCCAAGGCGCTGCACAGTTGGGTCATGACCCGAGCAGGGGGGAAATGGTCAGGGTGAGGGGAGGGAAGGGAGGGAGCGAGGAGGGGGGAAATGGTCAGGGTGAGGGGAGGGAAGGGAGGGAGCGAGGAGGGGGGAAATGGTCAGGGTGAGGGAAGGGAGGGAGCAAGGAGGGGGAAATGGTCAGGGTGAGGGGAGGGAAGGGAGGGAGCGAGGAGGGGGAAGAGAGTCGAGAGGGGAGCTGAAGGCACGGTCAAAGAGAAAGGTTTTGAGACCGGCCTTGAAGGAGGAAAGGGAGGAAGCGGCGAAGGCACTGGGGGATGGAGTTCCAGAGCCTGGGGGCTGAGAGGCTGAAGGCCCGACCACCGATGGTAGGGCGGTTGGGGCGGGGGACGTGGAGCAGACCGGAGCCAGAGGAACGGAGGGTACGGGCAGGTAGGTAGGGGGATAGTAGGTTGGAGAGGTAGGAGGGAGCAAGGCCGTGAATGGCCTTGTAGGTGAGGATGAGGATCTTGAAATCAATCCTCTGGGGGATGGGGAGCCAGTGGAGGCGAGCGAGGGTGGGAGTGATGTGGTCGCGGTGTCTGGTGCGGGACAGTACACGAGCTGCAGAGTTCTGAATGACCTGCAGCTTGTGGAGGGAGGTGGCGGGAAGGCCGGCGAGGAGAGAGTTCCCATAGTCCAGCCTTGAGGTGACAAAGGCGTGGACCAGGGTTTCAGCAGCGTGAGGGGTGAGGTAATGCCGTAGTCTGGCGATGTTCCGGAGGTGATGGAAGGCGGTGCCAGTTGTGGTGCGGATGTGAGGGAGAAAGGACAGCTCAGGGTCGAACAAAACGCCGAGGTTCCTGACTGGCTTTGAGAGGTGGAGAGTGCAGCCTTGGATGCTGATGGTGTCAGCGCCTGAGGTGCGGAGGCGCTGACGTGAGCCAATCAGGAGGGCCTCGGTTTTTCGCACGTTGAGCTGAAGAAAGTTGTCTCTCGTCCAGGACTCGATGTCGGACAGGCAGCTGTCAGGACATCGGTGGTCGTGGAGTTGAGAGTAGAGGAGGAAAGGTAGAGTTGGGTGTCATCCGCATACATGTGGAAGTTAACTCCATGTCTGCGGATGATGTCACCGAGGGGGAGCATATAGAGGGTGAAGAGGAGGGGACCGAGGACAGAGCCCTGAGGGACACCACATGAGACAGTACGGGGGGTGGAGGAGAAGCCATTCGTTGAGACAAAGTGAAGACGGTGAGAAAGGTACGACCTAAACCATTCAAGGACAGTGCCTTGAAGGTTGAGGTGGGAGGACAAGCGGTGGAGTAGGATAGCGTGGTCGACCGTATCGAATGCTGCCGATAGGTCGAGGAGGACGAGGAGACAGAGGGAGCCCTGGTCACAGATGGTCAGGATATCATTGGTGACCTTGACCAGGGCAGTTTCTGTGCTATGGGCAGCACGGAAACCTGACTGAAGGGGTTCAAAAAGAGAATGGGTGGAAAGGAAAGAGCGCAGTTGGGAGGCGACAACTCTTTCCAAGACCTTGGAGAGAAAGGGGAGGTTGGAGATGGGCCGGTAGCTTGATAGCTGCGACGCATCAAGGGAGGGTTTTTTCAGGGTGGGCGTGATGATGGCAGTTTTTAATGGAATGGGGACAGAGCCAGAGGAGAGGGACAGGTTGATGATGTCAGTGATATGTGGGGCAAGAAAGTGGAGCTGGGAGATAAGGAGTGGAGTGGGGATGGGGTCAAGGGAGCAGGTGGTTGGTTTTAGGGATAGGATGAGTTCAGTGACAGAGGGTGGGGAAACGGGTACGAAGGTGTGTAGGGGAGGATGGGTAGGAGTCGGAGTGTGGGAGGGAAGGGGTGGGTGGTGGGTGGAAGTTGGAGGGGAAGTGACCGCGGAGCGGATTCCCTTGATCTTGGATTCAAGGAAATCCAGCATCTCCTCGCAGTGAAGGTTGGAGGAGATGACCTGCGCGGGGTGGCGGGGGGGACGGAGGAGTCGGGTTGTGGTGGAAAACAGTAGCCTGGGGTTGTTCTTCGCCTCCAGGATTATCCTGGAGTAGAAGGACGACTTGGCCGAGGCTAGAGTGGAGCGGTAAATTTTGAGGAGGTCCAGCCAGATTTGTCGGTGGACCGTTAGGCCAGATTTGACACAGGTGCGTTCAGCAGCCCGCACCTGGCTTTTCAGTGAGCGGAGGTGGGTGGTGTACCAGGGGGAGGAGCGGGAGTAGGAGACAGTGCGGGAAGTGATGGGGGCAAGAGTATCGAGTGTGGAGGAGAGGGTATTGTGGAGGAGGGAGAGAGGAGAAGAGGGGTCGGTGAGGGTTGAAGGCCAGAGGGAGAGGAGTTCAGAGGACTCCAAGGCATCGGTTAGGGATTGTGGGGGTAACTTCTTCCAAGGGCGGTAGAAGATGGTGGTGGGTCTGGTGGAGGTGGGGAGGGGGGTGGAGGTGGTGAAGGAGATGAAGTGGTGGTCAGAGATGGCCTTGTCGGTAATAGTGACATCCGAGACACTGAGGCCCCGGGTGATCACCAAATCGAGTGGGTGGCCGTGACTGTGAGTGGGGGAGTTTATGTGTAGGGAGAGGTTGAGTGAGGAGAGCAGGGAAGAGAAGTCTGTGGAGATGGAGCAGGAGGGGGTGAAGTGTAGGTTAAAGTCGCCCAGGATGATGAGGCGATCGGAGCAGAGGCAAAGAGATGTGAGGAGTGTTGAAATGTCAGAGATGAAGGTGGGAGAGGTTTTAGGGGGCCGGTAGAGGAGGAGGATTTTAAGGGAGAGGAATGAGGGGTGGGAGAGGGTGAGTCTAGTCTCTCTCTCTCTGGAGGCTTCCTGTTCTTTTAACTGTTCTCACCTAGTTGTGCGATAGTTATACCCTATTTCCAAGTGTCCTTCCTAGGGCCGCTCTACCCTCTCTTGATACAGTCACGTACTTAAGTTAATCAATCATTTGGTTTGGTGCCAGCCTGACTGAGTCTCTATGAGGTCTTCCCTTTGTCCTGTCTAAGATAGGAGATTGATCGGTTTATAATAATAATAATAATAATAATAATCCTTGCATTTGATATAGCGCTTTTCACGTCGGGAGGACGTCCCAAAGCGCTTCACAGAACACACTGTAAAGTGAATTGACTGTATATTTGTGGGCGAACGCGGCAGCCAAATTGCGCACAGCAATGTCCCACAAACAGTCGTAGATTGAAAATGACCAATTTATTATTGTTTTTGTTTTTGGAGGGATTATTATTAGGCGTGTTTAGGGCTGTATCTGGTTATTTTGTTTGTTTGGGGTTTTTGGAGGGATTATTATTAGGCTCTGTGTGGAGTAAGGAAACTTGCCCAAGGTTTCGCCCTCTGCCTGGAATTGAACTCAGGTCTCTCACTTGCAAAGCGAGTGCTCTAACCACTGAGCTACAGGACTCCACAAATTCTCATTAAACTACAACATCTATAATCTAACATGTATATAAATGCAATTTGTTGTTTGTTTTTGTTGTTGGTTACCATCATATCAAAGCACTTCACAGATAATTGCTCTTAGTAAAGTGCCTCAATTTTTAGGTGGGTGCATTACTCACAGCAAGTTCTGAGGGCCACACTTGCATTCTCTCACTCTGTTGACTGTCTTTCACATTCTTTAACTCTCTCTTTTGGGATATTTGGGATATCTGGGCATGTGTTTGGGATAACCCAAGTACTTATTCTGTTCGAGGATTCAGGACAGGGAGTCAAATTGCCTCAAGCCTGTTTGATAGCAGGAATAGGTGGTTTCAGGAGCAGGTGTATGTAGCATCTTGCCGTATAAGTGTGACCAAAGAGAAACCCCTTATTGTTGAGAACACATTTCCCCTCTGTCCACCTGTTGTTTGAATATTCTCAGTGGACACACACTTTTTAATAATTTTTAAAAAATGTTATTGCAAAGTTGTTTGTTCAGCAGAAGACATTGCAAATACCAGGATGTCTGCTGTTTATCCAATCTGTTTTCTTTCTCGTCTCAGAAATCTGGCTGCTCCTGTTCTGCTTTCCCGTCGACATTCCACACTCTGAGCTATCCGACAGAAATCTGGTTGAGTTCTATCCATTTGCTTCAATGCATTTCTGCCTCAATGTCGGACAATAGGTCAGATTTGCCATTTATAGAATTTCTCTGCACAGAAGGGGCCTTTCAGCCTGTTTGTGCCACTGCTATCCTTTTTTTTCTAATACATCCTGTTTTTATATGAATCGTCCTTCTAGGTTTCTCCCCAGATATTAACAACTAACAACAAATTGCACTTACACAGTGCCTTTCACGATGGGAGAACATCGCATGGCAATGGACAATGAGGGTTTTGCACCCGTGTTGCAGGCTGGGATCATTGAGGGGTGGAAGGCAAGGTTGATGGAGGAGGGAAGATGACTGAAGAACACAGTCAAAAAGGAAGGTCTTGAGATGAGCGTGGATGGAGGCAAGGGAGTGGGTGAGCTGGAGGAGCAATATCGTAGAGGGCCTGGGGTTTAAAAGACAGTTGAGAATCAAATAAGGCACCAAGATTCCATACTGGCTCGATGAGGTGGAGAGTGCATCCATGAATAGTGATGCCATCAGCACCTGAGGTGAGGGGTAGCTGACG